AGGAATGCCCCAACTTTTTCCATCATCTATACCTGCATCTTTCGAAACTTTTTTTTTTTTATCGCGTCAATTCGCAGATTCTAGAATATTCTTTTTACTGCGAAATAAATCGTGTTACTGAAATACTCTTTGCACATTGATTAAAAGTATTGATGAAGTATCGATTGTGAAATCCTCCGGGAAATTCACGGTTTGTACAGGCTCATTTTCACGCTACAGATCATGTTTTTAATAATGTTTTTAATGATGTAAATGTAAAATATCATGATCTATTAATAAATAGAATTTTGTTACTGTTATTGTTTACTTTGGACAAGACAATATCATATTGCATTTTTTATCGTGACTCTTTTGTTTCATTGTCTCGGATCTAAGGACTTTTTGTGGGAGGAATTGTGTCAGCGACTAAAATTGCGGCTCTTAATTATGCTTATTGCATTCACATATCTAATGGTCCTTGGGCACGCAAAAAAAAAGTTGCGATGACATAAGTGCTTTTTGATAACCGGAGAACGCGTATATTTAATATTGAGATTTAATGGATTCGCAGAATTATATATTGCAAGTTTTATCATTTATTCTTCTCGGATTAATGTTTATATGTGTTTTCCTTAATCATTAAATCCCTTGAGTTGTGAAAACCGTTGCAGATCTTGAAAACACGTTAAATATATAATAAAATAACAAAGTCAACTGATAGCTTTAAAATAATAAATATAAAATATAAATTAAAATAACGTTTTTTTAACAAGAGAAAAATTTGTTAAAAAATATAAATTATTATCCGCTTGTTTGCAAAAATATAAGTAACAATACCTTGCGGGATATTTTCTACATTTTTCTATAAAGCTTATTCTTTCAAAAATTTCTTGTTTCTATTATCCTTAAAAATAATGAAGGTGTTTCTTGATTTCTCCGAGAGAAAAAAATTCTTTTTAATTTTGCCATTTCTCTTAAATCTAAAGTGTTATTAAGTCCATGACTCATGTCAGTTGCGATAAACGCACGATAATAATATGTTTGTGCATTCCTTATTTTATGAAATATCGGCGACACGCTTAAATATTATTAATTATTGCTTATGGACATACGTGCAATCATTATGCAACGCATATTTTACGCGGATAAAAAGGCAAAATTTTGTCCGAAACAAAATTTCTTTTCTATTGTTAGCGAATTTTCAGCGCGACTACATATCCATTAAGATCTTGCATGTCATGTATTTACTTTTTTGCATAAACATAGAAATTATCTATGTTATGCTTTTTTGTTATTATATCTACCGAGGACGAATATCGGACTCATGCTCTCGCGCGATTGTTTTCTTTCGAAAGAATCAGTTGTATTTCGCTCGTATATGTGTACAGTAGCAGCCGCACGATGCTTGACACAGATAGTTAAATTCAAGTGCGAATAAAAATATATAATAAAGATGATTTTTGAATATAATTCTCTCTCGCATATTAATAATAATTCTATTAAATTTTTGTAAAAAAAGAAATATATCTTTTTATTTGAAATAAAAAATAAAATAATTTAATATAAAATAAAATCAAAGATGATATATAATGATGAATGATTTGGAAAATAAAATCTTTTTTTTTCCCCATATTGTTATTTTGCGAATAAATATTGGAATCAAATGAAACTATCGGCGAATGCATGAAGCGGTATCTATTTCGAGGCGATAATGATTACGTTAATCAACGTGATTTTTGCACCATGTGGCGCGCAGTCTCGAAGATGCTTTCGTTTAAGTAAATGCGAAATTCCGGAGCTATGAATCGATCGCCATCTGAAAAATCGAGTTATACGGAATTGAGGATGACATCATATATGCCCCGTGTGTCAGCCATTTTATAGCGTCATGTACTCGCGAACGTAAAACCATTTTTGGAGCTTCAAGGACCGCGTTTGTAGATTATAAGTTCAATATTATATACAAGGTGTCACATATAATACGATGATCATTTGATTTTGAGTAGAGACAAATTAGTCATTTTAGAATTTTTTTATTTATTAATTTGTCAATTGTTTGAAATTGGGCAAAGTTAATATTATTATTTATTTAATTAATAAAATAATATTTTTTTTATTAAAATTAATTTGCATAGACATTAAAAATAAAGGATTAGCATATGGAAAGTATTTATAAGATGGATTTATCTTGATAAATAAAAAAAAACCTTTTCTATATATTTTATGTGATACAATTGAGTAATTAAGAATTGCACTTGGCTCCTCAATTAATCGCGCGAGCGCAAAATTATAAACTCGATCGATTAAACTTGACGCTTGACATTGTAAAACATGTAACGCTCGTCGCTCGTTCATGCATGGTTGGATGTACGTAACATCGTAACACTTTTGAAGCGTCTCGTCTGTCTCATTTCGCTCTGATTGGCTGCGAGGGAAGACGAGGGCGACGACCATCACCTCCTGCTAAGAGAAGCGTATAAATCCCGAGACTCCCTTCCTTACTCGACGATTGTTTAGAGCAATGATGTCCTCCAATCTTGTTGAACATGCGAATTAATTCATGTTTTGTTACATATATTTAATAAGACTAAAATATAAATAATAAGAATATATTTATTAATAATATCTGATTATTAATAAATATATTCTTATTATTATTCCGATTATACAAACGGAAAATATCGCGATAAATAATGATCTACAATAAATCGTATTTGACTGACGTATGTGTGACATTTAATATTTCGGATTCAATATTGCGTTAGATGATATCAGCAGTTAGATGATAATTATAGTTCAATTCGCCATTAATCAATGTATTTCTGGTGAAACCGCGCATATTTTTCGGATCATTTCTAACTTGTTTAAGAACGGCAACGCGAGATCTTCCGTGTGGCAACCGGACGAATATTGACAACAGTCTGGGCCACCATGGTAGAAAATAAAATTCTCGATGTGGGTCGTGCACCGCTTGAAATAGAAGCGCGTTCTCTCCTCGCCTGGCGCATGGCTTCTTCATGTTCGGAATGCTGTAAATGAAAGACGAATTTGTCATAATGCTCCCTGAATTTGTCGTTACGCCCTGATGAATGTCGCGCGTTATATGCATAATTGCGAAATTTACTATGTTACTTAGAACCGAGAAATACCTGCAAAATAAAAAAAGAAAAAGAAAGTAAAAGTATCCCGTAAAAAATTATCCTATGTTTTATTAATCTATTTTCTTTCACGTTCATTACTTGGTCCTGAATTCTTTTCTCAATTTGATATAAATAAAAAATGAGTATTGTTAGTAGTGTAGCCGTTTAATCATCGATACTTTCCAAAGATATTACAGTGAGAAAAATAATTCTCGTTTTCCACGAGGATAGCATCATTCGATATTATCTGTTTTAAGGCAGTAGGCCAAGGATAGCGAGATGATGTCAATTCCGAGTATTTTATGTTCAAAGAACCTTCGTGGAAGATTCGAAGGATGAAAGCCTATCTAATTGTAGAGATGAGTCAATGAGAAACTTGTTCTTGTGTATAAAAATGTTCACGAAAAAATTTCTTTTTATATTTAAATAAAATTGCAATCTGGTGTTTAATCCTCAGCAATTAATATTTGATTAATATGTGTATCTATTAATATGTATATAATTTTTATTTAATATTTATTTTCTAGATTGGAGAAAAAAACAAAGGATTTGCAAATAGCAGAGCGAAATGCCATGATCTATGAAACACGCTGCAGTGATTTACAATCACAATTCAATCAATCGCAGGCAGAGCGCAAGAAGCTTGCAGAGAAAGATCGAGATTCGGAGAAGGAAATCGAAAGATTGAAAGCGTTGCTCGACGATGCTCGGAAACATCTGGAGGAGGAGACTTTGCAGCGAATCGATCTGGAGAACAATATTCAAAGTCTCAAAGAAGATATCAGTTTTAAGGATCAAGTTTATCAACAAGAACTTTCGGAGACTCGTACGAGACGACAAGTAAGTTATTATTGGAAATAAGATCTTTTAGATTTTATTACATTATTATAAAGATATCGTTATTGCCATTTTCACATGAAAAGTTAGTTGATGAATATTTATTTAAACCTAGCAATATAATTAGAACTGTAATAGAAAAGACTAAAAATAAGTTAAATTTCTAATCAATGTTGATACAATTACTTTTAAATTTATAAATTTTTTAAAACATCACTTATAATGTATGTGTTTGCATTTTAGGTTGAGATATCCGAAATAGACGGGCGCCTCGCGGAACAATACGAGGCGAAATTGCAGCAGTCGCTACAAGAATTGCGCGACCAATATGAAGCACAGATGCGTGCAAATCGAGAGGAGATTGAATTGTTATATGAAAACAAAATCAAGAATTTGGCATCTCATGCACAACGTAATAGTGGAGCCGCCAGTATAGCAGTCGAAGAATTAAGACAGACACGCTCTAGAATCGAAGGGCTTAATTCAAGAATCAGCGAGCTCGAAGCGTCCAATAATGCGCTTAATGCACGAATCAGGTAATTTTTTTTACAAAATTTTCTGAGTCTCTCTCTTCATGTTAACAGAATGTTTTTTTGAAATAAATATAAAGCGTTTATATATTTCTATATTTAAGTAAGTATAAAAATAACATAAATGTGTCTTTCAACAGAGATTTGGAAAATTTAAGAGAAAACGAACGTTCTCGTCACGCGGAAAACTTGGCTGGATTGGAAGCGGAATTAGCACGTATGCGAGACGAAATGGCTCAGCAGTTGCAAGAATATCAGGATCTCATGGACATTAAAGTGGCACTTGATTTAGAAATCGCTGCATATCGTAAAATGCTCGAGTCTGAAGAGGCCAGGTAAGCCAATATATTGTAATCTGTTTGAATTTGAACGGAAAATTTCAAGCTCTTTCCTTTCTTATTTCCAATTAGATTAATTTATTCTTACTTTAATTTTCAGATTAAACATTACGCCTATGCAATCGACAAACACGTCTTTAAGTGGTAGAGCAACTCCGTCCAGACATACCCCTCTTAGAGGGGGTAAACGAAAACGCACTTTATTGGAAGAAAGTGAAGAACGTAGCAGTAGTGATTACAGCGTTTCAGGTACTGCTAGGGGTGACGTAGAAATTACTGAAGCAGATCCCCAAGGACGATTTGTTAAACTTACCAACAAGGGCAATAAGGTAAGGCTGAAAGCTTTAGAGAAATTAATTTTGATTTTATTCGAGCTACAGATAATACATACTTTATGTATCAAACATAATTTGTACAACAGGAAATAAGTTTGAGCGGCTGGCAGCTTATTCGCAAAGCTGGTACTCTGGAAACAGTTTTCAAGTTTCATCGTACAGCAAAACTTGAAGCAGGTGCTAATGTATTGGTATGGTCAGCTGATCTCGGTGCGACACACGAGCCACCATCTAACATCGTTATGAAAGGTCAGAAATGGTTTATAGCGGACAACATGAGTACGATTCTGTTCAATAACGAAGGAGAGGTATGCATTACCATCAATCATGTATTTAACTATGTATTTAAATAAGCATGTTTCTTTCAATACCGATATATGTGATAGATATTTTTAAATTTCAAGGAAAACAAATTTTATATGATAAAAACAGATTTCTTATTAGTCGAAATATTATACAAAACATTTAAGGGGACAAATTTTACATTTTTTAATTTTCTAATAGGAACTGGCAACTTCTGAACGCAAGAGACAGCAATTGTCTACAAGTTTGTCCCGACATAGGGAAAGTATAGGATTCCGATCAACAGAAGAACTTCATCACCAACAGGTAAGGATACAGTAAATGTTTCATTGTATTATGCATTACATTATATTGTAAGTATCGTAGATGAAAGCTTTAAACTAGTTTTGAAATTAAAATAAGAGTCATTAGGAAAACAGAAGTTGGAAGTAATAATATAATGCTGATATGTGTCAGTGTTATATTCTAACTGCAGCAATATTTTGATATACTATCGACGTATGAAATGGTATTTAGCAAATTGTAATAATGCACAATTACAATAATGTAAAAAAGTACTTCCTTTGACATACTAAAAAGATGCTAGTTGATAAAAAAATATACCTGAGAAACAGAAAAGAACATATTTTTTGAGATTCTTAAACATGAAAAGAAGACAATGTGGCTATGAGAATAATATTTATTTGAAAATTTCAAGCTGCATCATTAGGGATCAATTTAATATTCACGCAAAATTGTAGTAAATATTCAGACTTTACTTACTTTTCACTTTTTCGAGATTTGTTATATACAGAATAAGTGTTGCAGTTATAGACAACTAATTTCGGGGGGGTAGCGTTTTCACAACAATTCACTTCTTGTTCCATAGAGAAGATATCTCTACCCGTATTAAGGGTGAGGGCACACGACTCTGATGGGCACTTTATGTAAGTTATTTTATAACCTATCAGATGTTCGAACATTAAGTTGTCAATAATTAATATTCTTTGCACTCATATAATATATAAGAATTATATTTTGCTTCATATTTGGTTGGTTTTCATGCAGCACTTTGCCTGGATACTCACCGCTTAACAACTAAAATCTCATGCCTTACGAGAATTAATATAATCTTTGTTAAGATTATTACATCATCCCCCATCAATTAACCACATTGTCTTTAATTAAAATATATTATTGCGATTATATATTGTATGTATAAAAACATATACACATCGTTAAATATTATTTGCATAGATAATACTTAAAGCTTTTTTTTTTTTACATAAAATTTGGATATTCAATGCTATAATTTGTGAATTAAACAAATTTTAATTACGTATTATTAATGTTTTATTTAAATTTAGAATTTTCTGAATGTTAAATCTATGCGAGAGTTTTTTTACATCGATTATATAAGCTTTTGTATTGCATTTCAACATTGAACAAATTTTCATCTTCTGATATTATATAAATATTAGTTGTTCGTTTTGTGATCATTGATATATGTATGTATAATCGAATTATGTAATTTAAGGAACAGTATGCGTTTTGCTTTATTTAAAATGTGAACGGTAGTAACATTTATGAATAATATAAATTTAATTTAGCGTATAACTGATGTATTATACATTACTGCATATTAATATAGATCATATAGATTGTATACAGGTAATAGAGATTATGCGGACTAAATATGCTGTGTGCAAAAAAATTTTAAACAAAATAGAATAATTATAAAAGGATATATCTCACATATTTTCATATACATATATGTATTTTTCACTGTGTGAATTTAACAATAAAGGTTCATTATTTGCTTGTAACTAAATAAATATTCACGCAGTGAAATAAGCGAATTGGGGCCCGTGGTAATTACTCATTTATTTTATGTTCTTTTCGTTCGTTTTGTTGATGAAATATTGTATGTTTTATGTTTCAGAGTGATCCCCAAGGTGAAGAACGTTGCCGAATTATGTGAACATAAATTTATAATTATTAAGCTTAATTATACACATTATACTCTAAATTAATTTTGGTAAGTGAATGTTGTATTTTATATCTCTGATATTATACTTTAAATTAATTTTTTTCTGTCAGTTTAAATACAAAATATTTTCTTATATATTATGTATATATATTGCAATAAAAATACATTAACTTTTTATTGCAATAGAAAAAAAGAAAATATATATATGTGCTTATATGTATATATGTATATATTTTCTATTGCAATAATGTAAGAAAGTTATTAAAAATGTGTTTTAACTGCAATATTTATTATTTCTTTTTTGACATTATTATCAAAAGGTTTTAAAAGTTTCCATGATAATGAGCTTTGTAAGCATTGTGTACAAAATTAATGAGAATAAAAAGATTGTGCCATTAACACAAAGAAATTAATTTAGAGTATAATATCAGAGACATAATGAGTTCTACAAGATTCATTTATTGGATGTTCACTTTGAAGAAGAGGAGAATAATAAACGAAAAAATTATTGCAGTTGAATGTATATGTATGTATAACGTATAAGAAAGAGAAGATATTGTATAATATATTTCAGCTGATGCGCAAGAATTCCAAATCAAACTTAACAACTGTGTTCCGTGGTACGAATAATATATTGCATTTACAAATCCATTTATTATATAAGAGAAAGAGACAAAACTGTGCTATTATACTCCGTTGAACTCACAGCCATACAATAATTGCATAGACGGACATTAATGGTAGTAATGCTTGCATTCAGCCAATTTCTTCTCCATTGTTACGTGCCGCATACAAGTTCACATTTACCACCAGGCTATAATGCATCCGTTTATTATATTCTCTTCAAATTGTAATATTGGACAAATAATGTTTCGAGCGTATTTTAACGATTAATATTTTTTTAATTTATGGTAATGATTAAGTTATGTTTATGTTCGTTTATTGTGTCTAAAAAAAATAATCAATAGATCGATTAGGCTGTCAGTATTCGTTTCTCTCTCTCTCTCTCTCTCTCTTTTTTTTTTTTAAGTATGACGGTATAAAACTGGAAAAGATATATATATATGATAACTGTCAGTTGGATAAACAGTTTCGTCACTCCATGTTATCCCGAAGAAAACGCTTGACTAACATTCGATTGAATGTTATTTCTATTTTCCGATTAAGTGACATTCAACTGAAGTCGCAGTTACATGTCAAAAGAGTACGTTTTTCGATTGCGAAATTGTGCATCGGATTGTACACCGGATGCTGCTGATGTGTAATTGATTTTTCTATCGAAATAAGATGTCAAAGAAAATGCAAGAAACATATTTGTTCTTACAGTTCTTCACGCGCCCATCTGTGCGTACAAAATGATTTTTCTCAATTGTATTCAGCTTTATATCATTTATATACTAATAATAAAAATTAAAAAATTAATTGTACAAATGTACTCGTATAATTATTTTTTTTCACAACAGTGAAAGTAACTATTTTTGGTCAAACATTAAATTAGAATAAGTCTTTTGATAGAGACAGCATCAAACCGAAAAAAAAGTTTACGATAAATTACGTTGTTCAGATTCTACATTTGCAAATTCATGTTAAATCAGCTAAATATTTGTATATAGAAACAATATAAAAAAAGGAAAATTTTCATTTAAAAATTAAGAATGCTAAATATTTTTTATAAAAATTTAATTTTTTTTATTCGCGCTGTTTTCTGCACTAGGCTGTCAATAACTCATTTTCGTCTTTGTGCTAAATAATTTTGTAAGTTTGGAGAAACATCTATTTATGTGTAAAAAAAGTTTCCTACTCGAACGCTTTTCTGTTGGATAAAAAACGTAGAAATCGTTGTTAGTCTTGCTTGAAGACGATTTATTGTGGATCTCCAAGTTTTATTAATATCTCTGTACATATAAAGATTTTTCATACATATTAAAAAGAGTAACGTGGAAATTAGTATAAAACTTTTTTTTTTGACATATCGTAAAATGCGCGCATCACATATACGTGTAAGTGTAAGTTATATTAATCGTTTCGATGATACGGTTATATTCTATTCGCCTTACGATGTTACGATGAAATAAAACAATCTCATATACCCGTATGAAATGAAGATACATATAAGTATCAGGAACTAAAGAAAACACTGTGTGAAAGTTTAAGATACGGTTCGATAATATTCTTTTATATACTGAGAAGGGCTTTTCGCGCACATATTATATAATATATATATATATATATATATATATATATATATATCTGGCAAAGCAAATTTAAACGACGATT